TTGTACAAGTTAAGTTCATAAACATTTAATACATTCATATCTTTAAATAGAGGTTTTGTATTTGAAAAACGATTTAAAAAATATATTATTCGCATTGCGTGTTTCTGATGGCGGTAAAGACGTTGCAACTTACTTTTACCTGTACTTCCCCAGGCAATATTTGCATAGTATACTACTCATTTATTCATATAGCTATGAATAAATGAGTAGTATAGTTGTTTTAAATTATTTTTATTTAGATAATTTCTGGCCTTATAGAGGATACCAATACTTTTCGCAACTTTTGTTGATATATAATCAATATGAGCTTTCCATGTCATATTTTCGTCAAGATAAATACCTAGAAATTTTAAAACGGAATCTTTTTTTATTTCTACTTTGTCAATATAAAGTTTAGGTAAATCATAAGGCAAAAAGCGTTTTTTTGTTGAGGAGTGGAAAAGGATCCACTTTGTTTTCTCAATATTTAAGGTTAATTTATTGCATTTAAACCAGTTAGAAACTTGATTAAGTTCTTTATTCATATCTAAAAAAAGTTTGTTAATGTCTTTGTTTGACAAAAAGAAATTGGTATCGTTGGCAAACATGATGCTTATAAGATTCGAGGCCTTATTTAGATCGTTGACGTATACTCAAAAGAGAAGTGGGCCAAGGATAGAACCCTGTGGAACAACACATTTTATTTTAATTAATGTTTTATTTTGAAGGTTAATAGGAAGCAATTCTTCTCCGTGGTAGACGAATTGCTTTCTATTTGACAAGTAGCTTTTATACCATTTGATCATTTTACCAGTCATTCCGTAAAACTCAAGTTTTTTAAGTAAGATATCATGATTGAATGTATCAAAAGCCTTTGATAAATCGACAAAAACACCAAGTGTATATTGTGATTTAGCAAAAGAATTTGAGACTTCACGTGTAAATTGAATAATGGCTTGTTCAGTTAAACTATTTTTTTTAAAGCCGAACTGATTTTTATATAGTAAATTATTTGAAACCAGGTAGTTGTATATTTTTTCAAAGATAATTTTTTCTAATATTTTTGAAAACGTAGAAAGGATAGAAATAGGGCGATAATCATTTACGTTTGATTTTTCTCCTTCTTTATAATTCGGGATAACTTTTGCAATTTTTAATCATGGAAAACCCCTTGTTGTAAAGATGTTTGGAAAACTTTAAATAAAATATTTCCTTAGCAATTACTTTCATAGCAATCTATAATAATGTTCCCGTTTATTCCATCCGCACCGGTTGCTTTGTTTTTTTTAAAGACTTGAAGGCTCTTTCAAACTCTTCAATCGATAAGTCTAGGAATAAGTTATGGGTAGAAAGTAAATTATTTGAAGTTGTCAAAAAATCATTAAAGGAAATATTTGTAGATGGAATCCTATTAGCCAACCTACTTCCGATATCAGTAAAGTATTTATTAAATTCTTTCGCTATTTCATTTGGTTCATATACACATACATTGTTTATCTTAATCATTTTCGGAAGGAAATTTGAACAGGTTTCCTGTTTTCCCGTTATTTCTTTCAATATTTTCCATATTTGTTTTGAGTCATTTTTATATTTAGTGATTAAATTAGAGTAATAATTTTTTTTTAGGTTTTTGCGAATTTTTTCAAATAGAGTTTTGTAATTTTTATATATGCGTAAATTAGCATGAGATTTTGTTTTTAAATATTTTATATACAATTTTTGTTTAATTTTTGAAGATTTTTTGAGACCCTTGGTAATCCAAGGACTACTTAAGGTTTTTGGTTTTAAAGTTATTTCGGAAACGGGAAAATTCGCATTGTCCTCCGAGAAGAACGTATTAAAGAACTTATTATAGATTGCATTAATGTCTTCATTAAAATTTATATGCTTCCAGTTTAACAATGATAATTGATATTTAAATGCTTCTAAATTTTTTTTGTTGAAAATACGTTTTCTTATAGTTTGACTTTTATTAATGTTAGGAGTTGAAATTGTGTTAATTGTTAGAAAAATAGGGAAATGGTCTGATATATCTGATTTTATAATGCCTATTTGAATCTCATTGCTATATATATTTGTTGTTAAAGTATTGTCTATAAGGGTGGTTGAGTTTTCTGTTATTTGAGTAGGCCGGTTGATAAGCGGTATTGCTCCTGATACAAATATTTCATCATAAAATTTTTTTATTTTTTTGTTTTCGCTATATCGTAAGCAATCCATATTTAAATCGCCAATTACAAAGTTTTTTTTTCTTTTCTTTGTTACCTTTATAAAAAAAGGTTGTGCTTTAAGTATAAGCTTAAATTTTCTGACGTACCACCAGGTGGTCTATAACAACAACTTAGCAGAATGCTTTTGCTTTTTAACTTTTCGCTTTTATTGTTTGAATTTTCAATTGTAACGATTTCTTTATCGCTATCAGAAACGCACAAATCATTCCTAACGTTATGCACAATGTTTTGTTTTACGTAAATCAGAATTCCTCCACCGCGTTTATTTAATTGTCTTTCTAATAAAATTGTTTCAAAATTTGGAAGATGGAAATTAGAGTTATTATTAAGCTCATTTTGTGAACACCAAGTTTCCGTTAAGCAAATAATATCAAAATACTTTTTAGTCTCTTCTATAAAATATCGAAGATTTTCAAAATTTTTGTTCATATTTCTTATATTTATGTGGACAATTCTAATTTTTTTGTTTTCATCGCCATTTTTAGAAAGAAATTCTTTTAACTCACTAGCATAATGATAAAAACAATCTACTTTTAAGTCATTAAAATAATTAATATCTGGATCTGTGTTTTCATCAGATCCAATGTATTTGTTTCTAAAGTTGAAAATAAGTGATTCATAGTCATCCATTTTGAATTTTTTGTTGTTATCATTTTTTGTGTGCTGAATAAGATTTAAAAGAATTTCTTATACTTCTGAGGCGCGCGTTACAAGTTTGGTATATATAACTTTAGCAAACTTACCCTCAGCTCGAAGTTCTTTTGCTTTTGCGAATAGAAATCGTCTTTTTTCGATTTTGCGATTGCTATAGTCTTCGTTGAGATATATTTTTTCGTTCCATAGCTTTCTTTTTTTATACTCATTTAATACGATTTCTCTGTCTTTATAGTTAAGAAACTTTACCACGATAGTTCTTCTTCTTTTTCCAGATACGTGCTTCTTCCCAGTCCTGTGTGCTCTTTCGATTGCAATGTTGTTTTTAATTCCGAGTTTCCCCTTTAAGAACTCTTTAACCTTCGATTCGCTATCTTCCCAAGTTTCTTCTTCTCTTTCGTCAAATACTATTATATATATATATATATATATATATATATATATATATATATATATATATATATATATATATAATATATATATATATATATATATATATATATATATATATATATATATATATATATATTTATATATATATATATATATATATATATATATATATATATATATATATATATATATATATATATATATATATATATATATATATATATATATATATATTAACGGGGCTGGATGATAAGACCATGTCTTCTGTCAGCTCCGGTCAAAACTTAAATGTTATATTTTTATGTTGTAAAACCATTGTAAAAGATTATTTTTTAATGACGGTAATGTCATTAAAAAAGTTGCATGTTTTAATCTTATGATTGCCAGTGACTTTATTTAAAATTTGCCATTTGTGCGATAAGTTATGTTTAAACCAATTAAATCAGATACATCAAAGTCCTTCAAAAAACTTTTCATTCCAACATTTCCAGCGCTAGAAAAGTATGCTAATCTTCTTTTTAGTTTTGACTCCTTAAATAAAAACATACTATCTCCTATATACTATATACTATTACAAACTTGTTCACAGAAAGTAGACTATTACATTCCTATTCGACTAGAAACATACACAATGAAAAATTAGATGTACCATCTTTTGTAAGTTTAAGTAGTGTTTCTTTTTATTAAGATTTTTCTCTGACTTTACGTGATTTTAATTAATCGCCTTATTTTAATAGCGTTATGAAATTAAATACTTAATATGCAATTTTTAGTTCCACTTTTGACGTTTTTCTGAGTTCTTTGGTGATCCATAGTGATCTAATATTTTTTAAAGACTAACTTCATACTGAAGAAGGCTTGTGTTATAAACTTTACTAAATGTTTTAAAGAACGAGTTATAAAATAGATTTGCTTCAAATGCTTCCATTAAATGGATTTTACAATTAAAAGTATAGAACAAATGGTAAATTTACTACTGGAAAAACAAAAAAAAACAATTACAGAAGAAAGAGATTATGTATTTGTAAGAAAATGTATTTGTAGACATTGTAATTTATGAACGGAATAGTGAAGGTTAAGTTTGTATTAATAGTTTTAATTAAAAATAAATGGGATAACATAAGACATAGTACAAAGACATATTAAACATTATTGAAAAATAGTAGTGGGCAAATCAACTTGAGACAAATCATAAAAAAAATGTTTTGAGTTTTGATGCAGTAAATAATAAATCGAATTATAATAAAATAAAATAAACTGATAGATTTATATATATTTAGATATATGAATAAAAATAACATCAAGTGTAATGGGTATCCCTCTTCCCCTAAGAATTATTAAACCTAAACGTCTTAAATTTTTGAAAAAATATTAAAAAAAAAAAGCAATCAAAAATTAAAAACTGTAATTTTTTTATTTTTATTAAAATAAGATTAGTTTAAGAAAAAAATTTCTTATTACTACGTACTTTAAGTAAAAAACCTAAAAAGTTGTAATATTTAGTCGCAAAAAAAAAACAAAAAAAAAACAAAAAAAAAACGTGAATGCGTTACTCAAAAAATATTGAATAGTTCTTTTAAGTCAAAAAAAAATAAATGTAAATCTATTTTTTAATATTGCAAATGATGATAATAGTTAAAAAAAAAAATGATAAAATAAATTATTTATACCTATTACTTTATTGGAGAAATATTTTTTTTTTTTAAAGATTAAAAATTATATTTTTATAGCTTAAATAAAATCTATATTTTTGTTGGGCGAAAGAGATGCTTTTTAAACATATTGTTATAAAAAAAAAAATTTAACCACTTTAAAGTAAATCACACAAACACTGGCTATACTTTATAAGAAAATTCAGTTATATTTCATTATATGCTAAATTGTTAAATCCTGATGCAAAATTAGAACTATAGGCTGATTTTAAACATTCCGGATCTGTATACCTTTCTGTAACAGGTAAAGTTGACTCATTAAATTTTTTTTTAGTTTCTTCAATCGATTTGGTTTGGATAGGCTTTTGGAATATTTCTTTTTCGAAAATATCATCATCTGTTTCTGAGGGAAGACTATTGAAAGAGGCAACATTGTAATAAGTATTTTCATTGTCAATATCAAAGGTGAAATAACGATCACCTCGCGATATTATTTCTTCAAGATGTTCACTTAAATCTGTAAAAGAAGGTCGCTGCAAGGGATCATCATTCCAACAGTGCAACATGATGTCATACCTAAAAATTATTTAGTTATTATTATGCAGATTAAATTATTTTTAAAAGTGTTAAAAATGTTTTAAAAATTTTACATTTGTTCAGAACAATTTTCTGGTTGATCCATTCTATAACCAGTCTTTAAAAGAGACAGAAGTTCACGATTGCTAATAGTTGGATAAGGTGTACCTCCTGTTAAGCAGAACATATATATATATATATATATATATATATATATATATATATATATATATATATATATATATATATATATATATATATATTTGTACATATTAAATACCAACAACATGTAATATATAGCACATAGCGATTACTACTTTAAAGGAAAACATACCCAATGTAACTATTTCAAATAAGACAATACCATACGCCCACCTAAAACAATTAAAAATGTTCATTATTAAAAAATTTTATCAAGATAAAAGTTTCTAATATTTTGTATTCTGACGCGCTAACTACAAGAAGAGGGTGGATTGGTGAAAATAAAACAGTAAACACAGGGCCGTCCCGAAGAGATTTTAAAGGTGTCTGTTAATAGCCGACTAAAGCCAAAAAAAAACAATTTTTCCCCTAACTGATATAAAAAAAAGTCCTCTTTTATCGACAATTGCCGACTGCCAACTAAAAATTTATTTTTGCCGACTTCAGTCTTCAGTTTGCTGACTAATAAAATTCATTAAGGGCTAGACACCCTTCTACGCCTCCCCCCTCGGAACGGCCCTGAGTGCGCATTGGGTTAGAAAAATTCTATATATTTTTTAAAATATCAGTTAAATATGTCTTATATAAAAAAATAATATTATTTATGATAATTCATTATGTTCAAATAGTAATAACTGAACACAAAACATAATAGTTCCGTTAGCAAGGTTATGTTTTAAATCTTTTGTTATCTTTTTTATTATTAAAGCGATATTATTACATTCATTTTATTTTATAAGGTAAGAAAAGCTTACGCTACATAGTTTGTGTATGTATGTATAGACGGATAATTGACCATCAAATTGTTCTTATAAAAAGTATATCTTTTTTTTTTAATACTTCACTGCACATACTATTTTTTAAATTATATAAATTCTCAATTTCATTGTTTGTGTAAAAATAAGAGTACATAAAGCATGGCCTAATACAGTAACAGGCCGAGTAAACGGCTTTTATAAAAACTGTAGGCGAGTTTTTTTTATGAAGCATACGGCTTTTTTTTAAATTTCTAATAAACAATGTTTTATATGTAAGTCATAAATAACGATTTTTGTAACAATTAAATGAATTCAACCTCCAAAACGAAAAAAAAATTGTATAGAAAGTGCAAAGCATATTTCATTAGGTATAGTATAGTAAAAAATCACATTTTATTTGCAAAAAACTCTAAAAGCTATATGATAAAATAACTTTCTAAATTTAAACTCTCTCTCTCTCTCTCTCTCTCTCTCTCTCTCTCTCTCTCTCTCTCTATATATATATATATATATATATATATATATATATATATATATATATGTATATATATATATATATATATATATATATATATATATATATATATATATATATATATATATATATATATATAAATATATATATACATATATATATATACATATATATCCTTATAGTGTAGTCGAAAGAGTCGTTTAATGTAAAAAAAGTCTCTTTCGAATACAATTTTAATTACCTCGGTTTTTGATTGTCATCGAAATGTCAAAGCAATTAATTTATGCGGAAGTACATTAAATTTAATTGTTTTTTAAAAATTTTTTAAAAAACCGCAATTATAACGACTAGAAAGTTTTTTTTAATTAGTGGTGTTTTTGTTATTGATTTAATAAAAAACATTTTTAAAACATGTGTAAATGTTGCTACATCGACTATCTTATAGCCTGACTCGCAACGGAGTGCTGCTACATCGACTGACAAATAGCCTGACTCGCAACGGAGTGCTGCTACATCGACTGACAAATAGCCTGACTCGCAAGGGAGTGCTGCTATAACGACTGACAAATAGCCTGACTCGC